AAAAAAAAAGAAAGAAAATGAGATCAGTGACATAGGAATGCAGGAGAGGGTGCCCCAGAGGTTGGCATGGTTTGTTGGGTCTGGAGTCCCCAAAGAACAATTCAAAGAGGTGGAACTGTTTGAAGAGGATCTTGAATAGAATTTGGATACAAAATAACAGGAGAAGAAAAAAGCATTACAGGCAGGGGATTATTGGACTAGTTTATAGAGATGTGGAAAAGCAGATCCAATTTGGGGAATAGCAGAAAGTCTGATTTAGCTGGAAATGGAAGTAGAAAAAAAAAAGGCTAGAAAACAAACAAAGGCAAAGAAAGATGTTTTTCCCCAGATTAAGGTTTTTTGGTCTGGGGTTTCATTTAGTAGTTAGTGGTGAGACATTTAAGGATTTAAGATAGCAACATGTGAAGATCAGATTTGCAATTGAGAGCACAAATTAATTTATCCATTATTGTCCTTTTCTATTATTTTTCTTCTTATTCTAGTTCATTGCCCAGCTTTTGGTTTTAATCCACATTTGCCTTCCATTAGACATCAGCTATTTACACCCATATTATAATATTAAAGCAAGGTAAAGTGAAAAAATTACAGTAAAAGATGATAGAAATGATCTGGCTTACCAAATCCTTGGAGTGCTCCCTCTAGCATTTGGGCGTCCATTATGGGGTTGAAATTGGGAGCTGGGAAGATGGTTCCTTGCACCTGGTGGGAAGGGTGAATGAGAAAGAGATTGCAGTGTTTTACCAGAAAGATTTCAACAGTTCTTTTTGCAGATAAATGGAAATAAAAATACATTCCATATATTTAAATTACTCTAAGACATACACATAAATCTATTAGACAGATGTGTTAATTGTATATTAATTGCATGGAGCAAATTTGGTTGTTGTTTTTTTAATCCACTGGCCTTATTATATTGACATCTATTATTCATCTAGGAAATTGAGATACTAGAACCAATAGTAGAAAATGTGAAAGCCAAATAAATATAAATCTTTGTAATAAACAGTAAACATTTTCTCAGGAGTTGATGGCTGTTTTAGAGAAACTGAAGAGAGAACTCTATTGGGGGGGATTCATGACATTCATATGAAATAGAAGTGGCACTTGCCACCATAGCTTTTTTATGCATCAGGGACCTTAAAATCATGTTAGAGAAAACAGAAATATTTGAATTTGGATTATGGGATTCATAAAAATCTAGGTGATATAGATAGGGCAGAGATTTTTTAGCTGAAACTTGCAGCTGCAGAGGAAAACATGAAAACCTGACTGACATTCCATTTAAATTCTCTCTCTTGCTAATAATAAAATGGCAGAACATTTGTGTTGGGCTTTGAATACACAGTCTATTATTTCAGACAGAGCCAGCCAGGACTAGGCACTGTAACATCATACTCAGCACAAAAGAATTGTCAATCAAAATTTATTAAGAATGGGAACTCCGCCCCTCCCCTCCGTTTGTTGTCAGTGTGGCCAGAAACATCGGGAGAAAAAGCCTTCCCCTAGCAAATGGGTCTACTAGGCCTTGAGAACTCAAGCATTCACCAAGCTCTTCTGCAAGAATAATATCTTAGATGAAGATGAAGTTTTCTAGTGCCCATTTTCTAACAGTAGAAAATTAATTAATGAGAAGACTGCACCATCATTTCTAGTCCAAGAAATATACATATACAAACACCAAAATATTTATGAAAAGATTTTGGGGGGTTAAAAGCATTGTTCATTTGAATGAAAACTAAAATTTAAATTCTGTTTGGATTTCATTTGACTAATATTAATGATCATGAGGCTGTCTATTTGAAGGAGACTGGGAATCAATTGTGCTATGGCCATATTTTCATAAGTACAGCCATGTTAGTAAGACATTCTTCTTAATTACATATATGGCAGATGTACATAATTAAAATGAAAATATGGTATGCATGTTACATTGCTAAAGTGCATGAAGTTTGCTTCTGATATTCAAGTTTAGTGGAAATGATCCAGAGACTAATTTCTCTTGAGCCAATCCTCAATTCTGGGGGCTATTTATTAGGAGACAATATGAATGTTACCTCCTTTATCCACTAACCTGTTCCATTGGTCTCTATTAAGAAGATAGACTTTGATTCTTCTTTTACTTATTAAATGCAGTTTAAATAGCAGATTCTAATGTAAATTCCTAGGTTGAGTTCTCCTCACCTGAAGCATTTTTTTTTGAATCTTGTTATCCTAGAAAAATGAAAGCTTTAAACTTTTGAGAGAAGAGCCATCTATTGAATGTGAAATTGTTTTCTGCTATTTGTCATTGCCTTTTTTGTCCACGTAGTTCTTTCTAGGTTTTTTTCCCCCATTGGGAAAATAAAGTGTTTTTTTTGAGGCATGGAAAAGAGATACTTTATTTCCCCTATTTTAGGAGTTGGAAGATTTGTTTGGATAAATCTTGTGTGGACAATACCATTTTTTTTTTTTTTTTTTTTTTTTTTTTTTTTTTTGCCTTGGAGACCTTAATTTTGCGGTCTGCTATTAGCTAACGGGTTGTTTTAAACTATAAAAGACAAAATGTATTTGAAAACAATAAGACATATTCTTAAACGTGGTAAATTAATGTAGGCAATTTTAAGCACAGAGTATGCAAATTTTCACTACAAAACATCTCATTACTGGCTAGACTAGGATCTTTCAGAATTTCTATTGGAGTGCTATAAAATAAGTGCTATAAAATAAAAGCATATACCTTTATAGGGAAGAAAAAAACTCTAAAATTTATAGGTAAAGGAAGTTGTAAATGTTTATAATGACTTATCAGACACAATCTGTAGGTGAAAGAGGTATTTTTTCTTGTGTTAATTCTTGTACAGATTAATAGTGCAACATACTTTTACAATATAATGTAAAAATTACTTCTTTTTTCTTTATGGTTCTCATATTGTTTGCCATTTAAGCTCATTATTTTCTTGTCAGCTGGCATTGTTAATATGCTAAAACTCTTCTGGAAAAAAATTCAACACGAAGTAAAGGAAAATTGTAAAAGCTTAGTAATTCACAAAGCACAATTTTTCTAGTATGTATTTGTCATTTATGCCCATTTATATATCATAGCAGAACATTTTTTAATTTATTTTTAAAGTTTATTTATTTTGAGAGAGAGTGCATAGTAGAACATTTTATTTATTTATCTATTTATTTATTTATTTATTTATTTACTATTTTAAAAATTTATTTACTTATTTTGAGAGAGAGAGAATGCATGGTGTGGAGGGGGCAGAGAGAGAGATGACAGAGAGAGAAGCCAAAGCAGACTCAGCACGGAGCCTGATGCATGACTCAAACCCATGAGCTGTGAGATCATGACGTGAGTTAAAATCAAAAGTAGGACACTCAACTGACTGAACCACCCAGGCAACCCCATTATATTTCTTTTTATGCCAATTATTATGTTTTAATTAAGCTAAAGTGAGCAATATTATTCCATATAAGGCACACACTTAATGTTCCTTTTATTTTGTCATTGTATACTAGTTTTGTCATTTATTTATTTATTTATTTATTTATTTAGAGAGTGAGAGTGAGGAAGGGACAGAAAGAGAGGGAGAGACTGAGAGTCCCAAGCAGGCTCCACACTGTCAGTGGGGATCCTGATGCAGGGCTCGAACTCATGAACTGTGAGATCATGACCTGAACTGAAATGAAGAGTTGGGAGTCTTAACTGACTGAGACACCCAAGTGCCCCCTGATTTTGTCTTTTAATGATAGTATTTTTCCAGTTTTATTAAGCTGTAATTGATATATAACATTGTGTAAATTTAAGCTGTATAACATGATGTTTTGATATATGTATATAATGCAAAATGATTGCCACAGTAAGGCTGATTAACACATTTATCACCTCACAGTTTCATTTTCATTCTGATAGGAACATTTAAGAGCTACTCTTAACAACTTTCAAGTATATGATATAATATTGTTAACTAAAATCACCACGCTCTATGTTAGATCCCCAGACTTTTTCTCCTTATAGAAACTGGAAGCTTGTACTCTTTGACCAATATCTCCCAATTCCACACTCTCCACCCCCCTGACACATACCCCTGTCAGCCCCTGGCAATCACCAATCTTTTAATGATCATTTCAACTAAACTGACCAGTTAAGTCTATTGAAACAGTCAATTATAAATTTCTAATTTTCTTCCCTGAATTAAATAATTTGAAACAAAAAAGATTGATTAATGATTTGGGGCCATAAAACTTTTTCAAATGACTATGATATAACTATAGGTAGATACTCATCCATTTTAAGGTAATTTGATCTTTCCTTTGGATATTTTCCCCCAAATTTGTGCTCAACCATATTCTATACATTCCTTAATACACAATATCAGTCTCTCTGATGAAATTTATGCTGACCATTTCTTTTACTAACTCCCTAGCATTTACTGCATTTTTATTTTTATTTTTTTAAATTTTTTTTTTCAACGTTTATTTATTTTTGGGACAGAGAGAGACAGAGCATGAACGGGGGAGGGGCAGAGAGAGAGGGAGACACAGAATCGGAAACAGGCTCCAGGCTCTGAGCCATCAGCCCAGAGCCCGAGGTGGGGCTCAAACTCCCGGACCGCGAGATCGTGACCTGGCTGAAGTCGGACGCTTAACCCACTGCGCCACCCAGGCGCCCCTGCATTTTTATTTAAAATCTGTACTTTATGTTTTCCTATTTGCTATCTATTCTTAAAATGGGGAATTTCACTGTGTTGTATAGGGTACACAACGTTTTATAACATATTGCCCTAAGTATTTATTCTTTGTCTTCATTTCTTATCCTTCTAATTATATTTTATGTCCCTTGACCACAGAAGGCATATTAATTCTATGTCATGATTTTCTATGTAGTGAGACCTTTTTTTAAAATATTCTCGGG